TTTTTTACTCTTTGTACAGCAGTTATTGTTCATTCTAAATACATTTTTTTATATAGAATATGTGTTACATAAATACGTGAAATGTAGAACATATAAAAAAGTGCTCGTGGCTCGGCTGCCAGGGGGCCCCCCCCCGCATAAAAGTGAAACTCCGCCTATGATTGTGCTGTTACTCCTTTCGAGCCGAAGTTCACAAAATTGGGTGTTATTTATGGGGAGTAGAATTATTTATTTATTTCAATGAATGTAATCGATTAGATATCATAATATTTAGGCTATAATATTATAAATCAGGTTGGTTTGTATTGCTGACGTAATATGTAAATGATATGCGTGCGGCCCGCGAGACTTGCACTTGGACCATAGTGCGGCCCGGTGGAAAAAAAGGTTGAGAACCACTGATTTAAACGCTTGATTCATTCAGGAACGAATCACCGTTATTTGCTCAGAGACACAAAACAGCGCTGTGACTGTGTTTGCAATTATTTTTGGTGGCGAAATAGAGCAAAAAAAGCCAATATGGTGTCTAAAACGTAAGTCTCTTAATATTAACTTATTGTTTATTGAACTGTTGTATAAAATCAATATCACATTTGTAACCACGCAGATTTTTTTTTTTTAAACGGCTATTTTTTCCTTTTTATAACTAATTACATTTTAGTATGAGTTTTATTTCGATGGTTTTTAATTTTTTTTAAATGATTTAATACATTTTATTTTGACTTTTTATTTAAAAATGATTTATTCATTTAACATTTAATTATTAATTTCATCAGCTCAGTTTGGGAAGGCCTGTGTTATGGTGTGCACACAGTGCTCCAGTCTATTTCAGACACAGTACATGTTCAAAAAACCATGCTAGCATTTGTGTGATGAATGCTGATGCTCTCCTGTCCTCAGCCTCATTATGAAAGAATGAATGAATGAGTGAAAGAGTGTGTGATTTACCCAGACATGATTTCATATCCTCAGACGACATGTAGCCGTCGAAACACAGGCACTGGAATTCCCCGGGGATGTTGGTGCACTGACCGCCGTGACAGATGTCAGGACTGTCCTCACACTCATCGATATCTACACACACACGCCAGAGGTCAGAGGTCAGCACAGCTTGAGTGTGTGTGTGTGTGTGTGTGTGTGCATGTAATGTGCAGTGTGTGTGTGACCTGTGCAGCTCCTGAGGTCGGGCATGAGGGCGTAACCACGGCGACAGCTGCACTCATAACTTCCCTCTGAATTGGTGCAGAACGTCTCACAGCCGCCGTTCTCAATGGTGCATTCATCGATATCTGAAACACACACACACACACACACACACACACACACACACACACACACACACACACACACACAGTCACACATCATC